GGTTCAGGGAGGTGGGAGAGATAAGGTTATTTGATAGGCAAATTAATATTTTTAGCACATTATTATTTTATATTATTATTTATTTAACTGTAGTATAGTAGACAGTATCTGACTGACTTGTTAGTCTGCACTCATTTTCAAGCGTAGCAGTACACTGAGTCTCAGGGTAGTAGTGAGACGCAATGATGCAACCTCCAGCACTTAACACAATGCATAGTTAGAACATGTGCTCTGCATGTGACTGCATGACGGTCGTACGACCGACTTGTATCGCGCCACCAAAAACAAATAGTGGGTTGCTAAAAATATACATTCATACCCAACCTTTTATTTGTTTAATATGACAAATTTTTGGGTTACAGCTTTATAAACAAAGTGGAGAAATACAACGTACAGTATATACCAATTTTCACTTTCATAGATCAGCCAATGGTGATTATGAAAACTTCGTCTCCTGCATGTTCTTTACCCACGGAAAAATACACGTGATGACTAAACATTATCAATATGAGCGAGCGACTATAAAGTGGGTTAAAAATATATACGTCATCCAACTTGAACTTTTTTTTTTTTACTGTTGGTTAAAACAATGGTAAATTACATAGATACGAAACAGGGCAGTGTTGACATACTGTATTATAAAGTTGACCTGAAGACTGTCTAGCTGGACATAGGCCTAGGCTATGCGGCACTAAAATTAGGCCTAGGTATAATAGAGTTATTTGAGGAGATTATTGTATTGGTGAGTCATTTTGCTATTATTTTCTTGTTACTTTCTGTTTTTTGTTTTTTCTTGTTTTTTTGTTTTTTTTGTTTTTCTGTTATTTAATTGAGTGGAGTATCCACATTTACGTCGAACACCTGTCAAGCTCGTGTCGTATTCCTTTTCAATGTCGTCACAATCAAAATAGACCTGGGCCTAGCTAGGCTATCTTCAACTCGTCTCCAATCTTCACTTAATCACCTTATTTCTTTACTACAATTATGTAGTAAAATTACAATTAAGTGGCTGTTTATTTAGAAACTGTTAACGCCTATTTATTTACTGTACAAACTGTTAATACAACACTTTGCATTGAATTCTTAATAAACAATTTCTAACGAGGTGAACATTTTCAACGCCAACGCCAACGACAACGGCAACGCGCTCTCAATGAAAATGCAACGGGTTGAATGCGTTTAAAATTTGGGATAATTCTGGCCAGTACTGTAGGATATACTCTTTCGACCAACATCATATCGCATCAGGGCCCTCGTGTTTTTGTGGTGGTGCCTTTATATTAGTCTACGTTGTACAGCCGCTGCCCTGCATCTACCGCGTTAAAATCACAATTACAAATAAAAAAATAACTTGCAAGGCACGTAATGACGTTTGCAGTAAGACTACCCATACAACAACACAAATAAGCGTCGCATGGAGTTAGCGAAAAATGGAGCTCAAAGGGAAAAAAAACAATGTATTTGAGCAAGTATTTAAAGCTTTCTTTGATTTTAGGCTTTCGCCAAAATGGCTAAAGCAGTTGACTTTTTTTCGCCAATCCAAAATAGTTTTCGCCCATGGCGATTTGGTGAGCGGTTAGCGTGAGCCCAAGTATTTCTAAGACATGGTATAAATGTGATCGGATTGTAAAATGTAACCGTTTTCACTCACAATCAGCAATACCGCTGTGCAAGATTATGCCTTAGGTCTAGGCAGAAAATCAACACCGCATCAATCACAACAAGTGTACCGTAGGCATCAACTACAGTAGTTCTGATTTCAAACTGACAGGATACTTTCCGTTATTAACTTGCATGTTTGCGTATGTTTTAGCTTCTCTTTTGGAGGAAGCTCAACACTACTACTCGTTTTTCGAGCACTGCCTAGGCCTACATCCATATCGCTCATCAGACTCGGAATCGTGTTTTACTAGACTATTGTTGTTACGAAATCAGTAGACCATGGAGCACCATACAGTTCAGAGTGCAGTGCAACTCTTACATCAATTTGGCCAATGAAATTTCATTTTTTCGAAATCAGTAGACTATGGAGCGCGAATAAATTTTTCGTATACAGTTCAGAGTGCAACTTTGACAGCGATTTGGTCAATGAAATTTGTTGTTTTCGAAATCAGTAGACCGTAGAGCGCGAATTACTATTTCGTATACAGTTCAGAGCGCTGTTTTCAGGATGAAATTAAATGGTCTTGTTCTTATCTAAATCATAGGATTATCATTTCGTTTCTATTCATAAATGTGCGATTTATTTCAGCTGGCGAAAATGCGTAAAAAGCGGAGATTTTCGACCCAAAATCGGAGTGCGGAGTTTTGCTTAAATGAACAAAGAAACTGCCAAAATCAGAGTGGTTGGCATGTCTGGGGCTAGCCTAGCTAGTACTTACTGAACTTTCTCATTAACTATAGAATTTTCAATCTGTTTTACCAAGATGCAAAAGCTAAAACTTACTTACATATGAAAAAAGACCCCCATGGATATAAATACATTCTTTAAATTTTTGGTTTATTCATCTGATGATTCAGATTATATTGTCGTTGTTACTTTTTCTATGGTGTTTAAGTTGTCTGTCTTTTTCTTATTATTTCTGATTTGAATTAATGAAATAAATAAAACTGAACTCAACTGAATAAACATAAACAGTCCGTGCTAAAAATAAATATGTATATAAATTATGCATACATGGCATTCCTGATACACATTACTTTATATTTTTCCGTTTACAAATAATTATTCATCTTGTATAGTATGTCGAGCATTGAATTAATTCACCTCATCAATCAATATCTGTAAAATTATATTATTACTTTCAAATCATAATTCATCACCAAGTAAGAAGTTTGTTTTAATCGCAGTTGGCACTGCACTAAATTAACACGAAAAAAATTACAACCAGGAATACAGAATAAATGCTTTTTTAGGTCTTGACTTACCTTCTTGCACTTTAGGTAAGATAGCAATAACTGAGATAGCAATACACAGAATCATATTGAAAGATATGAAAAACTTATTTTCGGTACAGCTGTGATCCTTATCTCCCTGGGGGTAAAACAAAATAAGAAAGTGTAACAACTACAAATTTCATTTCATTTAAATAAATAAATTATTATACACTAAATGCTGAAGCGACTTACGATGAAGTAAACATAGAAGAGGACGATTCCAGTGATGCAAATTGCGTAGTCGATAATGGTGAAGAAAAGTAACCCTACAATAAACAACAATAAGGTCAAGTTCAGATTAATCTTTGCATCTCAGTGACACTGTCATCTGTGCACACAAATTACATAAGAATTCAAAATACTATACATCTTAGTAATAAAAGTATAAACAAAACAAAAATGAGAATATGAAACATCACATGAACCTCTTTAAAAGCTCTGTCTACACTATCAAGGTAACGACATCATCATGCCCATATATGGGCACCTTACACAACTTTGTCACATAAACTTTAATAATGTGGAGCTTAAGTGTTTTCCTTTGCTTTTCACTTGCTCTCACTACTTTTGTTTTTATTTAATCTCTTTGTGTTGGTGTCAAGTGCAATAGAGACCTAATGTTTATTTGCACTACTGTATAATTATACCTATAATATTGTACCTATAATTACAATAATTATAATTACCTATAATTATTTTTAAAAGTTGACACTAGACAATACTAAAAACACATTTTCAACACTGCTAGCCTATCTTCAAAGCCACTCAATCAAATTATACAAAATTAAAATAAATTACAATAGCACATAAATAATTTATAATTATTAATAATAAAAACAATAGCAGAATAAGTCATTTTGGAAATACTCACAAAATTGGCCTATAAAAAACCATATTTAAGGAAAATTATCAGAAAGCAAGTTTCATATATTGTATTTGCTACTGTATATGACCAATAAAATGAACTTCAACTTTTGAACACTCACCGTAATACCATCCTCTATTACCAGTCTCTTCTACCTTATCAACCCAGCTTTCATTCCATGTATGAGCAAAGTCCACAATCAGTACCAACTGAATCAGAATAAAGATGAATGCTCCAACCAGACCGAAATAACGCCATACTATGTACAAAGAAATAAAAGTGAAATGCTATGTGATGATTCAAAATGAATGAAGCAGTCCTTGTGTTCTCAAGATTCTATTATTAACAACATTATTGTTGATAGCTCTGAAAAAGCCGGTGTGCTGTTTTTCTGTTATCTTCTAACACCGAGACAATCTCAACAAGAAAATGTTTATTTTTTACAGAGCAACAGTATATATGTAGTGTAATGTAGTATATATTGTTACTTTACCACTCAAACCTTCAAACAATATTTAAAAAAAAAAAGGATATAGACAGCAGGATGAAAAATGCTTTTCATTATACAAGAGCAATTTATGCCCAAGACTTTGTCCACGCTACACAATTTTATGTGCCAAATAAATGTGCTAAGCCTATATTTGGGTGTAATATGACATCATCAGGCCCATATGGCCACATCACACAAAGTTAGTACGGATAGAGTTAAAATAACTCTTGTAACAGTGTTTCAGGACATGACAAAATTTTGTAATAGAAAAGGTAAAATGGCTTTGAGCTGTCATCTATTTTTTCCCTACGTCACAGACAATGAATTAATCAAAGATCCACTGATTATTTGCAAATAGAAAACGAGTATCGTGACTCTGAAGAATGATTTTTCAAAGTCACCATACTTTCATGAATTAATCTTGTTTTATTAAACTAACCTTCTTCAAAATTGCCAGATGGAATGAAGAAAGCTCCAACCCAGAGACCAACCAGAGCAAGAAACTTGAACAACCAGAATCTATAATAAGATAAAAATATATTTTTTTTTAGATTAGCCTACAACACTATGACTCCCTTTTTTGTAAGCCAAGTCACTATCTATAACTATAATAATAGTGAACATCATAGTTATCTAATTTTGATCTGAATGATGAATCTTGAATAAGTGCTGCATGTTTGGTGCACCCAACAGTATAAACGTGTACCTTGTGTATACGCAGATATGGCGACAAAGCTTATTAGCATGTGGGTCAGGGATAAAAACAAGCGCTTTGTAAACATAAAGAAAGGTACTATATAAATGCGAACATAACATAAACTAGAATACTCCTTTTACACTATGCAGTAAAAGCATAGCCTCCCACAGTGCAATTTTGTCCAGTACACAATGTTTAAATATTTTGAATTCTGAAAATCGTCGCTCACATCACGAACTAACACAATCTACTTTGATATTACAGTAGCGCATCAAAACGAGCGTGTATTGGTTGTCAAGCAATTTTGTATTCTTTACCACACAAAAAGTCCTTAACAACAGCGCATATTTTGACGCGCTTTTTTGATTTCACGAACTAACACAATTGAATTTAATTGTGTTAGTTCGTGATGTGAGCGACGAAATGTAAAGTATTTTGAATTTGTTTAGGATGAGTATTATGATGGTATTATGGCCATGGTGGAGAGTGTTTCCTAGTCGCTAGTCTCTCGGAAGAGACGGGTGGAGTCGGGAGGTGAGAAGAGGGGGTGCGGGAGATGGGGTGGGGCTAATGAGGTTGGGTCGGTGAGGTGGGACCGAAGGGGTGGGGACAATGGAATGGGACGATGGGGTAAGGAAATGTTATGGGGAAATGGGGTCAGGAAACGTAGTACGGATAGTGAGTTCCCTTTTGCGCACACACCCTATTCAGGGACAGATCCAGAGATGTCCGAAAGGGGACTCTGAAGGAGGGTGCCAAAAGTAGGGCTGATGAAATAATTTCACTCAAGTAATAAAAAAAAAATCAACTCATTTTCAAGCTTTTACCTACCTCCCCCCACCCCTCACCACTAACTTAACCTCTGTACCCCATCATCTCTCCCTCCTTTTAAGACTTCTAGGCCTAGAGCCCCCACCACACTGTGTAGGCTGCTAGGTAGATTAATGAATAGCAGGCTACCTATAGTGTACTGTATCCAGTACATAACCAGCCTACCTAATAGGCTAGTCATCTACAGTAGTAGGCATAGGTCCAAGAGTGTAAGGTAAGGCCTGCACAGGGAATATAATTCTTCACGCAAAAGCTAGGCCTTGAAATCCATTCAAATTTCGAAAAAAAAGGGCTGACTTCACCCAAATTTTGCCGATAATGCAGGTTTGGACCTAGCCCTAGCTAGGCCCCTAATCTAAATTCTTAAGTCTGATTGTACAGAAGAGGCTTAATCATCTCTTCTGTAAAGAACTTCAAGTTAAACAGTAGGCTAGTCTGTTGTGTAGGCCTATGATAGGCCAGGAGGTGACAGACGATCGGGCCCACCCCACAGCGAGACGAGTCAGCACATCCATTGTCACCTGGTGGGTGTACAGTATCGTTGATCATAAGATCTACATTGCCCTAGGTTAATACAGCCACAGGTTGCGGCCGGAAATCATCGGATTTAAATTATATTAAAGCATGTATTATTTAAGCTGGTGAAGTACTGACTACAGTATTTCTTAACAAACTGTAAAGGTGCAATCGCCAAATTATTCCAGACGACAAATTGGCGTTCAGATGCGTTTTCTATTGCTCTACCAAAACGCATCTGAAAACACCGTTTGAATAGCACATTCTTTGGACGCCAATATTCCGTTTTGGCTTTTGCTCCTCACCTTTAACTTTTGTCGATTGGATGCACCGTAAAACGCGTCCAGACGACTCTTTAAAATGAATCATAATACGACTGACTGTGTGGACCCTGTACCCAAGTACGGACTTGTTTACCTGCTAGCGAACGTCTCTTTGTACGCCGCCTGTGTGTGCAAGACCTGACAGAAGTACGTAGAGAAGTCCCTGGTCGATGCTAAAAAAATAGTCGGTTGGGTACTGGTACTACAGTAGTACCGTGCATAGGTGAATCTATCGTAATATTCAGTGATTCTACGAATCAATAAACAAATATAACGTTAAAAAATCAGATTTTTTAGTTATTTCCGACGTAATTGCAGCAGGAGTTGCAGGCCACCATAGTTTCAAGAAGCGCGATCACCATCCTGTGCAGCTGAGCTGTGTGGTAACATCTAGCACAGCAATCAATTGCTCTCCTTGCTGTTGAAAGGGATTACGTGCTAAAAGACCCATGCCTCCGAAAACGTTGTCCATGATCAAAGTAGATGAAATTTTGCAGTATACTAAAGCTACATTATATTTACATTTTTAAAAACGTTTATTAATTGAATTTACGTGAATTTCATGCAAAACATGTTTTTTTTATGCCGAATTTCACCGCGGATTTTGACTTGTGTATTCTATAAAAACATGCAAGGCCAAACCATTGCCCACCCAGTAAAGGTTTTACTGACAACTCGCGATGTGACTGTAATTTATTTATTTATTCAACTGAACATACACTTTTGTTTCAGCAGCACACACAAATTTGGTGCGTTGAATGTGTAAAAGAGAGAAAGAAAAACAACTAAAAATAAGTAATTGTAAAAAAAAAAAGTTACACCCCGTTTGATAATGGACAGTTCTAAATCGCCCAGTATTCTACTTGTTTACACACATGGTTCTGGGCCCTGCTCTCTGCATGCACCCAAGGCTCGACCTCGAGATCGCTGCAGTTTTATTTGAAAGAGGACTCTGTAGTTCGATCAGTTAAAGATCATGATTTGTTGTTATTATGACATGTTTTTGTCTTTATCTAAATTTTACTAGTCAACCAAATATACATCTCTCGATTCAGAGGACCTACAGTAGAACTTACAGTAAAAGAAAATGCACTACTGCATAGTATACACAGTAGAGAGTAGCCTAAAAAAATTGTGAGTAACCAGCCGTGCGCGAGGATAAAAAAGATAGGCAGACTACATACATAGGTCTAGATTTGAATTTATATTTAGGCCAGAATGTAATGCCGAATTACCATGACACTTAAAGTATATTTGAAGTATGTTTGTTATTTGTAATGCCAATGTACCCGCCTTCACTTTTGCAAAGAAAACCCCAGCGCTCTTTTCGAAGTAGTTCTATCTATGGAGCGGCGTACAAAGCGAATTCCAATGGAAGTCGCTTAGCGCATACCACGCCCTGGACCTCCAGGCACGTTGTCATCATGTAATTTACAAATCTTTATATAAGCATAGAGAAAGTATAGCCACATGTACTTATAAGAAAGAATAGGAGCTGCATTTATTTGAAAGGCCTGTATTTCTATACACTCAAGTGATCCAGTTGACCGCGCTAGTAGTAGTAAACAATAGAAAATCATTCAAACGATCAACAAGCGTTCAAACGATTCACCGTCGTCCAGACGCGAGCCGTAGTTCAAGCGTGTAGCAAATGAATTTTCATATAGCGTGGTAATTAGAATGGTTGATTTCTCAGACGCGTTTGTGATAGGGTGTTGACGTCTGGGATAATTTGGCGATCGCGCCTAATAGGCCTAGACCTTAGGCCTACTTTAAGGAAGCACTGCCCAATGCTTTCAGCAACGCAATTTGAGTTAAATCCGATATTTAATCAAGTTCATTAATTTTTTTTAAATATGAAAGAAAGTTTAATTTCAACTGCAAATTGAATCACTGTTTTTGCAATGTAAAGGCATATGACATATTACAATTTTAACTAAGTAGGAAATCTTTTATGGGAATTATGATGGTATTTATTGTACATTACCTGATTAGGGACATATTAATTATGCAAATGAGCAATTAGCATATTCACACACCTACCATCTTCTTATTACCATCTTGCATTCTGCCAAGTTCAAACCAATCGACCTTACCAAACTTTAGTTGCCCAACAACGACGAACAACAATGAAAACACCGACAGCATGAAGAACATCATGAGTAAAAACAATAGCCTCCCCGGAGCTTCGCTCATTCGGGGAGGCTAATTAAGCAATTGAGGAAGAAACCTAATAGACAAATTTGAATGAAATATTGTACTGTACTAATTTTAATTCTTGGATCTACGGTCACTTAAGCATGTGGGCCAGGGATAAAAACAAGCGCTTTTTTAAGAAAAGTACTATATAAATGTAAACATAAATTAGGCACTTGAGGAAGAAAAACCTAATGGACAAATTTGAGTATGTCGTGAATAAATGAAATATTGTACTGTACCCATTTTGAATCTTGGATCTAGGGTCACCGCTTGACTTGGTATTCAGCATGATGATAGCAAGCAAGAAGAAAAAACATGCCATTCCAAAGCAGATACGATAAACACCAGAATACCCAGCAATAATATCGCACTGTTCAGAGGACAACACGCCGTCAATCACATTGCTGCTACCTTCACATACTACCAACAACTACAGAAAAAAATGAATGTTAATGGAGACAAAATAAAAATAAAATCTAGTGAAAAGGAGCTCAATATACATCATATAAATTTAAAACTAATATTATAGAGCACCTGATAAAAAATATACATCATCATAAAAATTATACCCTATTCAGACTAGACTTTGCATTGCGATAGGTTGCGATGTAATCGGTGGTAAACAGTTGTAATCCAAATTGTTCGCAACCATTTGCAAACTTTGACAGCATTCAGACACCTTTTACCATGATACTTTACATCACTAGCAATGATATAGGTCGTCCTGTTTTGTTTGACCTCAGTCAATCAGTGACTATGGAGTAATCAAGAGTAATAAAGATTGTAGCACCCAATCACAACGGGTAACAATTGTGAAATCGATTACTTATTGACTATTATTGGTGAGCTTTCAGACACGATTTTACTTTGCAATTGTGTGTCGCAATTGCTACAATCGGTCGCAATGCGAAGATAGTCTGGATGGGGTATAAGTTTAGCAGGTTTATTTTTTCCAACAGATACAATTAATAAAAAGAGGCAGCTTAAAATTTATGTGTTTTGAGCTGAAAAATCTGAAAAAATAAAATTTTTATATTTGTATTTCTTTAAGATCTTGCTTTTGATTAAAACCCAGAACGAGAATATTTTGTTTGCTAATGAAAAATATAGTACAGTTTCTACAGTTCCATGTTAACTGGCATAAGGTCTGGCCACACTATCAAATTTTAGGTGACAAAAAAATGTGATACTGTATGCCCATATTTTGGTGTAATATGATATCACCATACCCATATGGGTACATCCCACAAATTTGTCACATAAAATTTGATAGACTGAGTGGAATGAGTTTAAGAATTTTTCACAGTAAATCATTTGTAAATCAGTAAAAACTGAATTGTGTCAACATGTATCTCATTGACGGGTATAATTTATCTGACAGTGTATTTGTAACTTTGCATTTTTAGCCCTTCAGCTGGAAGACTGGAGCAGAAATATGAATCAATCCTGTGTAAGAATCGAACCTGTGATACTAAGGACCTGAAAGGATCTCCAATCTGTGGTTCAGCACACACACAGTGGCTACCACCAGTTTGCTGATTGAATTAAAGTGCAAAACCACAGACACTTTTCAGGAATGGTGCACACCATGCAATGATGGGGTCGGAAGCTACTGTAACCCCACCCACAAAGAGCTCCCACACAGGACACTGTAATGAATTCACTACAGTAAGCCATTTCGTAGTCTGAACTGTGCATGCCCATATCCAAGGTCAATCAACATAAACCTATGTAGTGTGTACGTGGTGCATATTTGTTTGTCGATTGACCTTGATATGGGCATAGAGTACTACAGTGATACGTCACGATACCGCGTGATACTACTCGTGCTATCATTGCAAAAAGCATTCAACCGGGCGCCATTTTATCCACTGACAAACCATTGATCCCAATTTCTAACGTAATTATAAGATGTTGTACCTTACTTTTTCTTTGTAAATTTTAATTGATGATTAAATGTTGTGTTCAATAACTAATATAATGGGATCTTTTGTGTTTTTAGTACATTTTGATGGTAAAATATTAGATTTTAAAATGCCTATTCCAGAAAGCTTATGGAGTCATTCAGGCGTACTGAACTGTAACCAACATCTGTCAACAACAGAGAGCACCACCTGGCGTCGTGATGACATGACTGCGGTACACTATGTGCATTCAGATTACGAAATGGCTTATTACATTTTATATAATCCTTTGAAATAAATTTGAGGCCTTACGCTATTCAATTTCTCTCTCAATCCTGGTGTCAACATGATGCAAGAAGTGATGGCTCCTAACAACAAAAACAGGCCATAAACAATGCGAGAGGATGTGGAGTTCTTGCATGACGGACATGCACTGCAACAGCAACTGCAGGCCGCAGTGCCACAACAACATGCCAACTGCAAAGCAAAAAAAATGTATTATGCTTCCTACAGGGCTATTTGAAATACATTTTCAATAAAATGTACTACTGTATTAAAAACTTCCCAAAAAAGGCTATCCTTCCCTGCGCTAATTATATTTTACAGTCTGAGTCTGGCTCCTACTATATGCCACTGCCATCTTTGACATTTTAGAATGTATTTCTATAATTAATATTCATGAAGTAGACTTTTAATTTTACCAAAATATAATTTATTAAATTTAAAAAAATAATAATAATAATAATATGCAGAAATTCAAAAAACATTATCAAAGGCGCAGTGAACAGTTAACCCAATTAAAGCGATTTTGTAAACAAAAAAGTTTTCACATTAGTTTTAAAGAGTATTGTTTTTTTCCCGTACTGTTATAATTTCCTTATTCTGAATACAAACATAAAACAAAAACTACGTCAGGAAATCGTCCTCCTACCAAATTGGTTTTTAAGGCATTGACATAATTTTCGGACATTTGGACAATGATTTACAGGAATCCAATTTTAACAGATGCATAAATATATAACTCATACCATCTAACTACAAATTCATAAAATTAAATTGCACCAAGCCTGTAAAATGTAATCATCCTTTCGCCGATTTTACTCTAGTTTTCGACACCCCTCAGAGGCCTTTTCACCCAGTCAGTGCTTTTTTCGTAATTTCCATATCTTGGAAATACAAACTTATTTGCTTAACGATAATAAAAATGTTAAGTTATAGTTAATTTGAAGTTATTTTACAGTAAACTACTATAATGAAAGTGTACAAAATTTGTGGTCGCATGTCTTACAAAAAGTAGCGAAAAATGGCTACTTCGCCATCTTGATAATTTTTGATAGTAATTAAGAATACAGTAGGATATCGAAATAATAAACCCCAACCTTTGCCCTGTGACCTAACCACACTCTTTTCTTATTTGCTACTGTATGCCATGTGACGGCGGCCATGTTTCGATCTTAAAGTTTTTCGAATTAAATTTTCTTTTGAAAAAGTGTAAACTTGGGATAAATTTTTCCACTCTAAGGTAATTAGTTTTAGATGTAATATGACACCATATTCTCCCTTGGGAATATCATATTTCATAAAAATTGGAATTTATAATTTGAAAAAAAAGTTGTTTTTGTGGACAGTTTTTGTTCGGGGGTCAGTGCTTCACACTGTTTTTAAAATGATATAATTTTACTAGTGACATAGAAATGGATAATTAAAAAATCATTATTAAATCTGGGGGTCGGGAAATGGGGGGGGGTTGAAAACCTAAGTGGTCGAAAACTAACGTAGGTCGAATATTAGCGATTTATTCTACTTAGTCTTAGGCCTACAGTAGGCTAGGCCCTAGGCCTACAGTAGCCTAGGCCCCAAGGCTAGGCCTAGGAACTTTTATTAATTTAATTTATAATCAAATTCTGTCAGTAGCAAACCTGGTTATAATTAAGTGTGTGTTTGGTTATGACTCAGGCCTAGTCTGTAAAGTTTCCAGAATAAGGAGACTCTATTCCCTAGGGCTTAGGCTAGGTACATGAACTATCGGCCGTTGCAAGCACGATATCGTGGCAGTGCTATCATTTTTGCCAGCGACTCGACTGTTGCACAGCCCTCTATTGTTTTTGCTGCAGATATCGTATTTATTTTTTCTCTGTGACCGGAAAATAGTGATGACGTAGTTCACATGTTCCTCTTTCACCTAGTCATCAAATCAGTTTTTTCCGACTTCGGGAAGTGAGTGAATTTATTGCCGAAAGTTTGAGTTGTCAAAAACATTTAATTTTTTTTTTTAAGAAGTTAAGTTTATTTTGTTCTGAAACCAGTTTATTGTGTTAGTTTGTATATTTATAGTACAACTGGGTGCAATATTTAGATAATCTGAACACCGAAACCTAGTTTTTGACCGAAAATAAAGTGTGTTGTGAATGGAAATTCCCAAAATCTGTTCGTGCAGTGCAGCGTGAGCTGTCATGCATGTCTGGACTTGCCAGATTGCACACGACAACATGTTTACATACACACAGTCGCGATCGATTTTATGTTATGTTTTGTTTTATCCAAGTTTATATTGTTCTGAAACCAATTTAATTTTAATTATATCAATACTTAATATATAAATGTATAATCATATTTTGATGAAATAAAAGACGACCATAAGAAAGAGAAAAAAAATATATTTTCAATGGAGGGTAGGAAAGGGGGTCGGGTGTGGTCAGAGGGTTGGGGATGAGGGTCAGAACACCCTATGCCACAGCTTTTATTCTCCTTCTGTGCTTTCAAATGTCTTATTCATTGAGGCATGTGTAAAAACGTTTAAAGACATTATGGCATATTATAATTAATTATTTGTAATTAATTAATATAATTGTTATTTAATTAATAAATGATTAAATTTAAATGAGTTTTATAGTGCTTATTTTTGCACGTTTTTCAAGAACAAGGTCACATACTTCTCCATTGTTTACATAGGATTTGAAGGACCAAAATTAGGCATAATTAATAGGAAGTGGATATACCTCACTGTAAATAAATCAGTATAACGATATATTTACGTAAATGAAACAACGCATGCGCAGTCATACTTTAATAAACTTGCATTATCGGTCACGTAAATTTATCAATTCACGCTAAATGCACGTTAACGCGAAGTTCAACTTTCAGACACCAAACTAGCATCGGCCTTTTGCTGAATGTACTGTACCATGAATCCACGGTGCACGAAAATCAAATCTTCAAACGTGGACGTGTTTATTATAGTCATGTTAAAATACTGTACATTAACTTGACACAACAATATTTCTTATAAAAACAAATGGTTTCTACTCTTTAAAAAGCCATTGAACAACACAAGAATCGAATCGACGGCAAATCAACGCACATGGGGAATCTCCAAATTGGTTGAATTAATTTTTGTAAACAGTTTATGACTAGCGGAGAGGTACAGTATTTCAATTATAATTTTACCGTTCTTTAATACTAAATGTAATTAAATTTGCTACAGTAATAATCATAATAATTTATTGGGAAACTACACTTTTGAAACAGTGGCACACTTCACATGATAAAGGTGGGTCAAAAAAAAAAAAATACTTCAAACAGAATACAATAAAAAGAAAACAGGGTATAAATTGAGTAACCGTCACTCAAACATTGACAAGCACTCCACTCCCATCCAATACCCACCCTCATCAAAGTATTATATGCAATGATGCCTCAATTGTCATGTCAATCCCCTGAGTGACCCTTATTCCCCTGAGTGACCCTTATTCAGTAGTAGCCTATGTATTTCAATTAAATAAAATAATTGAATGATTGTGATAGTGAGCTAGAAGTATTCGTTTCACTCTATCACATCATGACCACAACGTCGAGCGGGGCTGTTTATTCCATTTATATCAGTGATTAAACTACTAATTAGAAGTCATGCTTTTTCATTTAGGTCAGTCCGGCTGTGGAATTCTTTATCGAATGAAGACGTTAACTCTAGTTCAATTAATTTATTTAAATCTGCAATCGAAGTACGTTTGGCTGACTATCCACTCAAATTTGCGCCCTATGTTAAATTTCAAATATTCTGTTTTTTTCGAGGGCCTATAAGCATCGTTTTGCTTGGCCTCTATACACAGGAGGATCCGATTATAGAAGACTCTCTTGGGAAACAAGTAAGTATAACAAGTAAGTAAACATACTGAGCTGTTGTAGAAAATTAAATTACGTTTAATAAAAAATAATATTATAAATTAAGTAGTGCCATGGTGAACTTGGGGGAATCCCCGCAGCTTGGGCGGCTCCCCGCAGCTTGGGCGGCCACGCTAATGTGGAGTGCTGAAAATGCAAGATTATTCAAGTATGACTGCGCATGCGTTGTTTCATTTACGTAAATATATTGTTTACTGCTTTGCATACGGCGACGAAAATATATCCACTTCCTAATTAATAATCTTGTAAATTCTGTAACTTTGCTGATATTTGACGGATGACAATGATAATGGTATCAATTTAATTCTATAATAATACTCTTTCAAATGATAACAGCTGCAAAGGAATTGCTTGAATTTGAAATTTTTTGTCACGTACCTTAGTTAGGACTAGGCCTAGGCTTAGTTAACTTGCCTCGCTGAGTACGTCTTCTTGATTGGCATTTCCATGGCTGGATAAGCCTGGGCCTCCTCTAGGCCTAGGCCTACTCCTACCTAGGCCTAGGGCTAAGCCTCTAGCTAGGCCCTAGGCCTAGACATAGGCTGACTAGGCCTAGGTAGGCTAGCTAAGGGCCTAGGCCCTAGTTAGCTAGGCCTAAGTAGTAGTAGGCTAGTAGGCCTAGTAGTAGTAGTAGTAGCGAGCCTAAGTAGGCCCGTTATTTTTAGAGTGAAAATCCTTTGGAAATACTCACCCCACCCAAAGATAAAACACAGCCCATTTTGAGGCTTAAAAATAAACGGTAAGTCTTCTAGACTTTATCTTGTGTTCGTCTGTTAATATAATTCTTTTAATTTCATAAAAAATAACTGCCACTTCCCTTCTCAATCTTAGCAAATTCAACAACAAACCGAACGAAAATGGCGTACATGAACAATGGCTGTATTCAATATCGTTCTTCGTTAAAACACGCTCACATGCGCAGTGGCCATGGTAAAATCATAAACGAAGACGAATAGAATAGAAAACTTGTAAATACTCGACAAAATAAAATGGCATAATGGCTACCGCGATACACGCTGTGTAATCAAAACTGCTTCAACTTGTGGCAGTATAAGTTTTTCGTAAAAAATAAAAAAACAATGTTTATCCAGTTTTTGAATTCTGTTAGCATACAATTATTTTTAGATTTCATGTGGGTAAATGATATAATTTTCATTTTCTGAAATTATATTAACGCAAATGTTGTTTAAACTCACCAATCGGCCATGTTTGTTTTGGTCACGTGAATAACTTAACGCTGATTAACGCACTCTGGTTTTACGTTAATTTTCGTTGTCAACGAAGTCTATTTTACGAACAAGTCGAATAGGCCTTAAATTTAAATAATAGCGACATGCACTGTACAAAATCGGTTTTCTATTTTCCAGTTAAGTTTTGACAGACTAAACAAATTTTCAATTTCTTTTTTTATTCATACAGTACGTAGATATATCCTTTGCGAACATTTTAAAGAAAACAAAAATTGACACGACCCTCCGTTAAGGATATATGCTTTTTTGAGTAACATGACCTCCGAAAATATGGCCGAAACGCTATGTTATTTCTTTTAGTTACGCTTCACTGCTCAGCATTGTTTGTCATCGATCGAAGATGTGTACCGCAGCGTGAAAAAGGCCTATGAAAATAATACTCAACGAAAATTCGTAGTCAACGAAATGAACCATTCGAATACGCCTAATGTTATTATTTTGAGGTATGACGTCATCAATGATATCCCGTGACACCTTTGGTGATGCTACATGTCGTCATCGGTTTGTATGGTTGGAGTCGGATATGTACCACTAGTCGTTTATTGTAGAGCGGTAAGGAGCAAGATCGTGCACTTTTGAAAGAAAGCATGAAACTTCCCACAGTGTTTAAATAAGGACATGATGGAACATCGTAGGCTACCCTGTAGCTTTTCAACGAACAAAGTGTTTTAAAAATCATGTCCTTATTTAAACACTGTATATGTACCTTTGACGATATATATTATATTTATTCAACAGTGTTAACAGCTAACTCCCTTCAATATCATATTTAAAAATGATATTTAGTCTATTCGATATTATTGCCATCATACCATTACTTGAATGTGATATTTAATTTATGTCTACATAATTTC